ACAGAAAGAGAAACATGGTATGTACTCACTCATAAGTGGATAATACACATAAAGCAAAGGACAACCAGCCTATAGTCCATGACCCTGGAGAAGCTCGGTAACAAGGAGGGCCTAAGAGAGACATGCATGGATCCCCCTGGGAAAGGAAAATAGACAAGATCTCCTGAAAAAACTGGGGGGGGAGGGGGGTGGGAGGAAATGGAGGGGCAGAAATATTGAGTTTTGGGAAGAATAGGGGAGAGAGAGCAGGATGAGAAATACCATATCAGAGGGAGCCACTATAGGACCCAGAAACTGTGACCAGCAGTTGATGGAAGCAGAAACAGACACCCACACGTAAGCACTGAACCAAAATCCTGGAATCCAGTTGCAGAGAGGGAGGAGTAAAGAGCACTGGGTTCAAGACCAGCCTGGAGAAACCCACAAAAATAGCTGACCTGAAAAATGGGAGCTCACGGATCCCAGAATGATATCTGGGAAACCAGGATAGGACCAACCCAGACCCCCTGAATGTGGGTGTGTGTGAGGAGGCCTGGGTAGTCTATTGGACCTCTGGTAGTAGATCAGTATTTATCCCTGGCATATGAATGGACTTTGGGAGCCTATTCTGTGTGGAGGGATGCCCTCTCAGCCTGGACTCATGGGGGAGGGCCTAGACCTGGCCCAGGATGATGTGGTGGACTTTGCAGAGGCCCCATTGAGGGCCCTACCCTTCCTGGGGAGTGGTGGGTGGATGGGGTGGAAGGTAGGCTGGGGGTAGGGGAGGAGGGATGGGGTGAGGGGAGGGAGAGGGAGAAGGGACTTATATGTGAAACAAGCTTGTTCCCTAACTAGAACTAATAAATAAATAAAACATAAAATTCACAAGTTAAAAAAAAAGAAGTCTAGAACTATTTGGGGAGGGGGGGATAAATGTGGTGTAGGTAGTGGCCCCTGGAAAAGACACATTTATAACTTCAAATATTCAAAATCAGCCTGTCTGCCAGGGCATTGTTTTAATGACCTCTTCAAATAGCCTGGGTTTAAAAGGTAAAAGCCCAGGAGCAGCTTTCAGTCAAAGGCACACTCTGCTAGCTTTTTGTCTTCTTGCCAAGTTGGCCTAACTATTTGGCAAATATGTTGTCATCAAGTTTAGTTTTGAAGCAGTCTTAAGGAAATTAAATAATTAAATTCTATGGTTTTGAGGCCCAAAGATTTAAGAACAACAGTCAAGGAATGAGTTGCTTTCAGCCTCTTTGAATGTGGTTCCACACTCATGAGTTTATTGTTCCTCTTTATTGCTGTGTCACTTAGCTGATTCAGGGTCTTTATTCATGTCCCAAAAATTGAGAAATATGGGACATTTGTACAAAGTAAAGGGGGTAAGGAAGTGGGCATTTAATATTTCAGCAGGAAAAAGAAAGTAAAAGTAAATTTGCTTAAAGCCAAAAGCAAACTTAAGATTAATGTTTTATTTGACAGAGTTTCTGTGTTTCTAAGACATTTTACTAAGTCACCTAGTCAACCACAAAAATGCTTTTCAACTTAGAGGTAATATAGTTCTAAACCCCTGTAATGTGATGATCCAAAAGTCTCAATCTTCTCAATCACCTAGTACATACTGTCTTTACCACACCGATGTACACTCCAAAAAACTGGTCAGGTCCAATGATTCAAACCTGTATTCCAGTTACATAGGGACTAAGGCAGAAGCATCACATGTTTAAGGCCTGTCATGGTTGTCAAATGAATTCAGCCAGGACAATTCAGTGAGAACCTATCTCAAAACAAGAGGGCTGGAGATGGAGAAGAGTGGCAGGGCTTTTTGATAGCACGATTGAGGCTCTAGATTCAAACATATGTATTCCCATTATTAGGTGCAAGAAAATTTCATGGTATATCATTTAAATATACTTGATGGTTTCATTGATATGGGGGAAGAGCCTGGGAATGTTTATTTCTAATAATCTCTCTCTCTCTCTCTCTCTCTCTCTCTCTCTCTCTCTCTCTCTTTCTCTCTCTCTCTGTGTAGATGGAGTTCTCTCCCACCTAGTCCCACAGCCCTTTAGTCCCAAATAAACACATAGAGACTTACATTAATTATAAACTATTTGGCCAATAACTTAGGCTTCTAGCGACTAGCTCTCTCTTAATTATTAATCCATAACTATTAACCTATGTATTTCTACATGACTTTAGCTTACCGGAGAATGCCCAACATCCTATCTTCCTGGTAGCTACATCATGTCTCCCTGGCAGCTCCCTCTCTGAGTCCTCTCCCCAGAATTCTCCTGGTAGCCCTGCCTATACTTCCTGCCTGGCTACTGGCCAATCAGTATTTTATTCATCAACCAATAAGAGAAGCATATATTCAGAAGGATATTCCCCATGCATCACATTGGGGGTTCCTTCAATGTGGTAAAACTGACCTATTGGGCAAAGAACTGCGCTTGTCTCAACTTCTGACACTATGTTGTCCAAATTGGACAAGCAAGACAACAAAAAGAGTGATGGCAAACCTTGCCAAGACAAGGCAGTCAAGTCATTCAGATTATCCTGGTTCACAGGAACGTCTGCCATATATGCTGGGCCTCTATGATTAGCTAATGGCAAGCTCAATTCTCTGACCTTCAGACAGGCTTTATTTGTACAAGCAAGATATCACCACACCTCTCTTTTTCTCAAACACCACACACACACACACACACACACACACACACACACACACACACACACACAGAGAGAGAGAGAG